TTTTTTCCAGTCATTTCCTTTCCGTTGTGGTCCTAATCGTTGGAAGATGCAGGTTGCAGAGCAAATAAGTTGTACTGTTAGCGAAATCGCCAAAATGTAACGATCTTGGCTATAATTTTGCCGCCAATGCTTAAGTATGGTTCGGAGCAAAAGTGATTATAATGATAGATGGATTACCATTTTTCCATGGTACTTATGGGCTCTATGCGACTCCGCTTTTCCAATAGACTTGTATGTTTTTGCATTCGGTATCTTTAGTTGTTAAGGACAGACCTGCTGTGACTTCGCCAGCGAACAGAGATGGTCTTCCTCGAAAAATCAAAATCAGCCGTGATGCCAATGGACACCTTGGGCTTTCGATAGCTGGTGGACTTGGGAGTACACCTTTTATCGATGGAGACTGCTCTCTTTTCGTCTCGCGCGTTACACCTGATGGTCCTGCCGATCTGGCAGGTCTTCGCGTCAATGACAAGCTGATGAAGTAAGAGCTCCTGAATTTTAGTCAATAAGTATCGCTTTAATGTTCATCCTAGGGTCAACGACGTTGATGTTACATGTGCTTCACATGACGAAGCTGTTCGAGCAATGAATGAGCCTGGAGAGTTTGTCGAACTCTCGATTCTGAGGCGAGAGAATGTTGGAACCACGTTTGTGGTACGCAAGTAAAGCACTTTACCTTTGACCTATCAAATGTTTTCGTTTACAGAGGTCTCCGGAACAATCTTTGGATGTCTCATTCATTACAGACTCCGGTGAATTGCCTCTCCACAATCGTGAAACCCTCAGCGTTACGCTGAAGCGGTAAGTGTCTTGCTTTGCTTGCGCTGCATCCGGTTAGGTAGACGATAATATATTGAAGCGGTTATGCAGAAGTTAGCATATAGAGTATATCTAAGGATAGACCAGTCATGATTATCCTACCTTTAATCGGATTGCATTTGGCTTTTCAGTGATGCCTCTGGTTCACCCGGATTTGCTGTTGCTTCGTCACATGCAGGAGCAAGCGATGGTCTTTTCATCAGTTACATCACTCCTAACGGACCAGCAGGATCTCAGGGAAAGCTATGTGTAAGTTGGGTTGTTTCTTGGCTTTTACTTGTGGCTAGCATGAGATGTAAACCATTCAGACTCAATCTACAGTTGGAGGTATATCTTACAGTACATCAGTTGTTCAGTTTTTTTTTTCATTTTTTTTCTGTCATGAAGGCCCCCTCAAGTCTATTCAGACTAGCGTGCCTCTAAGTCTTTTGCAGGTTGGTGATCGCGTAGTGTCTATCAACGGAACCCGGCTAAAGGGTGTTCGTCACGATCAAGCTGTGGCATTACTTACGGGTAATCCATTCGAAGACGTCTATATCACAGTAATGGTAGGTTTTTTTTTGTTTATGATTATTCTTTGGAAATCCACTTTTATGTGAGATTCATTCTTCAACTTTAGCGTGACTTTATCCCCCACGTGTCACCGCTTCCTCTACCATCGACCCCTCTTATCACTTCTTCACCCACTACTCACTCTCCGCAA